AATTCCATGCCCCTTCATCATCTTCCGGATAATTGGCGTAACCGATGATATCTAACATGCCAGCTTGTTGAAGATTTAACTTGCGGTACAACCCCGAAAGTGTGCTCGTATTGCTTCGTCCGCTTCTTAATACTTCTTTTTAATACTTCTTCTTATTCTTCTTAGTACTTACGCTTCACTTATCTTGGTCTGGGGGATATTCTATCTGTCCGACTAGGTGGGGGGGATTTCAGATTTCAGGGACCAAGAGCTGATCGCTGCTCTGTTCCTGAATGAAGTCTTGGATGTGAGGCCACCAGTGGGCTGTCTTGTTTGGACCGTCGATTAAACTTGCGATGCCTTCATCTCTTTTTCTGTTCCTTTTGATATTGTAACACAAATACTCGATAATGTCGAGGCCGTTACACTTACCGTTGTCGTTACTGCTACTTCAAATGTCGTACTGCATATTCGAGTAAATAATATCCAGCCAAGATCCGAGTCGATGGAAACGGGCCAGTAACGAGATATGACACTTAACTTGCTCTCGTCGTACAAAATTCCGGCTAATAAGTCGTGTAACAAAAGGTCTCTGGGTACCATATCATGTTGAGGCTTGTCGTCGCTACAAATAGCACGATATCAAATTATAGCATTTTTTGAAAAGCTTCATTTTTGAAATTCTTGAATCCAAAAGAATAATTCCTTGCTAACCCACGTCATGATACCTTTGTTAGTTCCAGGGGTCAACTAGTCTTCCCTCCCAAAATCAAGGTCTTAGAGGCTAGAAGGTGGAAATTGGAAGTTAGACTATCATTTCCAAGCTTATTTGTCCCTAAGCTCTGTTCTAGCCCCAGCCCAACACTTCAAAATCAGGCGGGGTGAATTATTTACTTGGAATAATGGAGGGGCATCCGAGTTTCAAAAATTGAATTTCTTGTAATCTTACGAGAATTCCATCTTTGGGATTCATTATTTAGTCTCGTAGATTCCCTTGTTTTTCCTAAAAATTTCTTTAATTCCTATACACCTATATTCTACTACTACAACGACTACATAATTTTGGTTATTCATCAAACCCAAGGAAAGTCATTCCAAGATCTATCAAGATGGGGGACATCAGTGAAGAAAGTAAGCAACCTCTCAATTTCTCAACTCCTCAATATTTCGGTTTCAAAAGAACATACCTAATATCAATAGGAAAACCTACTCCGGAGAATATGACCATGCTCCAAGCCTTTGAATGGTATGTTCCAGACGATCATAAACATTGGCAAAGACTCCACGATGCAATCCCGTCTCTCAAAGCTACCGGTATCGATAACATGTGGATCCCACCCGGATGTAAAGCTTCTTCTCAATCTGGAAATGGTTATGATGTTTATGATTTATATGATTTGGGAGAATTCGAACAAAAGGGAGGAAAAGGTACGAAATGGGGTAACAAGGAAGAGCTGGTAAAAATGGTGAAGAAAGCCAATGAAGTTGGAGTAGGAATTTATTGGGATGCTGGTAGTACTTCCTTGAAACAACATGCTTCTTGAAACATGTATACTAACATTATCTTCTCCCTCAAGTCCTCAATCATAAAGCAGCAGCAGACCACAAAGAGAAGTGTCTTGCCCAAGAAGTCGACGAGGAAGACCGCACAAAGAACATCTCAGACCCGTATGAAATCGAAGGCTGGCTCGGTTTTGACTTTCCCGGCCGTGGCGATAAATATTCGAAACAAAAGTACCATTGGTATCACTTCTCTGGCACAGATTACAACGACGCAAACCAAAAGACTGCAATCTACAAGATTCTCGGAGATAAAACAAAAGATTGGGCAGATGACGGCGATGTCGATTCTGAAAAGGGCAACTACGATTACCTTATGTTCGCAGATCTTGACTATGGTCATCCGGAAGTAGAAAAAGATGTATTAAATTGGGGAGGATGGCTCGGAGATCAAATTACACTGAAAGGAGTGAGATTCGATGCAGTCAAACACTTCAGTGAGGATTTTCTGAGAAAATTCATCACTCTTATGAATGATAAATATGGCCAAGGATGGTTCTTCGTAGGAGAGTTTTGGAAGGACAGTTTGGATGATATGAACAAATATTTGGATCGCATGGGCAGAAAGTTTAGTCTCTTTGATGCTCCATTGGTTTATAACTTCAGCAAATTGAGCAAGACAGAGGGAGGAGACTTGAGAGGTGTTTTTGATGATACCTTGGTTCAGACTGCACCAGTTAATGCTGTTGTAAGTTATTCTTTTCTTTTACTTTCCTCAGAACTCTCTATTGCTTTCCCCTTTCTTTCTCTCAAACACGTGAAACTAACAACCATCTAGACACTAGTCATGAATCACGACACCCAACCTTACCAGGCCCTCGAAGCTCCTATAGAACCTTTCTTCAAACCTCTCGCCTATTCCCTCATCCTTCTCCGCTTCGACGGCTACCCCTGCATCTTCTATGGTGATCTTTACGGCATAAAGGGCGAACATCCCTTCCCTCCATCGTGCGGTGGTGCACTCCCAAATCTTGCTCTAGCCAGAAAACTTTACGCATATGGAGAACAAAAAGATTACTTCGATTACGCAACCTGTATCGGCTGGGTGAGATATGGAACTTGGGATCGACCATTTGGTTGCGCGGTAGTATTGAGTAATGCGGGACCAGGAGAGAAGAGAATGTTTGTTGGAGAGATACATGCAGGAGAGAAATGGACAGATGTTTTGGGATGGGAACAAGGAGAGGTAGAGATTGGAGAGGATGGATGGGGAGTTTTCAAGTGTCCGGGAACAAGTGTCAGTGTATGGGTTAATGCTGAAGCGGAGGGAAGAGATAGGTTTGGAAAGTTTGATGATGATATCTATAAGGAGTAGAGAGGTAGATGGATAGATTGGGTGGGTAAATGGACTGATTGATGCAGGGCATTTTGATGTCCGAAAGGATGTTTTGCGGGATTCTGGCGCTGGTGGTTAGATGATGGGTATGCATTAAAGAGATACACACGGTACACAAGATAGACAGGATAAACAATTAAATGAATGATTTTCAGCGCTCATCATCCCAGATCTAATTTTTGTACTTGCTCTCTATCTCTTCAGTCAAGTGACCAACTCCTTTTCTCATACTCTATTCACGCTCGTCAATTTCACTATTTCGTTGGAAGTTTCTCAAGCGTTTTGATTCTATACTCTGTCGACTCCGATAATAAGATTCAGGGGACTTGATTTTCCCCATCAATCTAAACATCATAAAAAAGAGAAAGGAATGATCAGATTGATAGACCTCTTGATAGAATGATGTAGATATTGATTAGTTTCTACTTTGGCTTAACAAGACCGAGTCCTATCTTAGAGTTTCCATTTCCTGACTAGAGGTAGAAGAAAACTATTTTGTCATCCGATACCTAGTATCAAGATGTGTAATCTTTAAAGTCCTTTTGCAAACCATTCAATGGATCAGAAGTTCTTTCTGGACCGCTTGGTGCAGTTCCAATGTTGGTTCACAGCTGCGTACATGTCTACCTAGTAAGCAAAGCATAGTGAAACCATAATTCTATTTATTTACCTTCACCACACAAGTGAAGATAATTCTTAACAAACGTAGAATTATATGCGTGTTCTTTAACGATGTTCAGAATGGGTTCTCGATACATTTCTGATAATGGAGGGGGTTTCAGAGATGTGCATTGAAATGGAAGCACGATTGATGTTCAGCACGATTGATGTTCATGAAATAGACTAATAAAAGGATTGTGCGACAGAACGCCAAGATCTCAACTCGACAATCTTATCGCAACACCTCTTCACACATTATGAGGGAAAGTATTTCAACAACAACTGATATTAATTATACACCACGAGAGAATGACAACATGATAAACTTTGCATATATAAGGTCAATAATGCCTTTGCAACCATTCTGATCTATTCTCAATTCAAAAGTACAACTTGACGCCTCATAGTAAGTCCTGTCTTGAGTTTACATGTACTCGTTTTGGCACGCATCAGCTCTTCTACTTGAACAGCAATCACCTCGAGGATATTCGCCTTCGATTGAATCACCCGCAGACACTAATTCTAAATTGAGATGGCGGCTATGAGACTGCGCAGGCAATTGCGCGAGTTCACTTGACCTTCGACGACTCGGCCGCCCGATACCAATCTGATAAAATATACGCTGGGTGGACAGGACAACAGGTTCAGTCAGATGCGATGACAATATCTGAAGTGGCGGAACTCTACTCGGGAAATGAGGAAGGAATAACTCTGTTTATCTGAATACTGGTCAATCCCCTCCCAGTATTGTTTTATCCGTGGCTCATTCGATCTGTCGAGAGCGGGCAGCGAGGGGTTTCGAAAATCGGATATGCACTCAAAATTGTTATGTGCAAAGGATACACAATCAGCTTACCGCCACATGCACGGCATACCAGAGCAGAATATGAACGATCTCGACGAAAGGATCGGTTGTCATTACAAGATATCCATATCTCGCTTTGGCGCAACTTATCACGAATGGGTTGACGATGTTTCTCATACTTCAATATGAAGGGTCTCAACACCACAACCAAGAGCGACAGGAATCTCGTCAGTATATCATCTATATGTGGGTGGCACCTCCAAGATATTGATCTATTCCAAATGGCGTCCTCAGGTATATCACTACGTGTGTAGGTGGTCAAGGTAAGTGGAGGGAAGATGTTGACGACATTTTGGCACTTATATGGCTCATGCAGAAGCTCGACTTGGTCGAGATCATATTCGTATTTATTCATGATCGCCACACATCACCGTAAAAAGACGTGAGATTATAAATTTTGTAGAGCCGGTCTTATCGGAATTTGCTGCTACAACATAATGTTAAGCCTTACGCCTCAATCATGTATTCATCACCGCTCAAGAAAGATCTGGAACTTCTTCAGAATTCAAAACAAAACTAGAAATCAATTAAGAAGATCAAATAATCCATTTCAAATTTCCTAATTGCCAATTCAATTATTGTCTTCCGCGGTAAATTTCATGTTCCTCAAAAGAAATCAATGTTCAGGCATTCAGGCCATCACTAATAAGCGAGGGTTGAATTTCACACAAACCCTTTAGCGCCTCAAGAATATTCCAGTGGAAACTCTATCAACTTGAGAAAATTCACCGACGTCGACAACTTGTAAATTTAACCACCACCGCCAACTCCACAAATCAGCCATCGCAATCATGTCTGAAGGAGAAATCGAAGTCGAGGCCGTTTCCGGCTACCAAGTGCTCCCAAAGGAGGTCACTGAGGAGATTGGAAGCATCAAGGTACAACTCAATTAAAATATATCGACAAATGGGAATATTGAAGCTGACAATCTGCAGCTTTTCAACAAATGGAGCTACGAGGATGTTGAGATTCGCGACATCTCTTTGACGTAAGATTACCCAGTGCGAATCATATATGGAGGAGAAAAGGATGGAATTGGAAAATCTTCGACAATTGTTTTGGATGAGGGGAATTATAGGAAGAGCCAAAGGCTAATGCGATATTTTTTCAACAGCGATTACATTCAAATCAGAGCCCCAGTCTACATCTCCCACTCCGCCGGTCGTTATGCGCAAAAGAGATTCAGAAAGGCCAACTGCCCAATCATTGAGCGTCTTACCAACTCCTTGATGATGAACGGTCGCAACAACGGAAAGAAGCTCATGGCTGTCCGCATTGTTGCCCACGCCTTCGAGATCGTACGTCCGACCACATTGTGATACATTTGCAGGAAATTCTAACCATCAAAATTATAGATCCACATCATGACCGACCAAAACCCAATCCAAGTTGCCGTTGATGCTATCGTCAACTGCGGTCCTCGCGAAGATTCCACCCGTATCGGATCCGCCGGTACCGTCCGTCGTCAAGCCGTCGATGTCTCCCCTCTCCGCCGTGTCAACCAAGCCATTGCTCTCCTTACCATCGGTGCCCGTGAAGCTTCATTCAGAAACGTCAAGTCCATTGCTGAGTGCTTGGCTGAAGAATTGATCAACGCTGCTAAGGGAAGCAGCAACTCCTACGCCATCAAGAAGAAGGATGAGTTGGAGCGTGTCGCCAAGAGCAATCGTTAAATGGTTATATTCGGGGATTTTCTGTGGGGTGTTTCAATTTGCATTATGGATGGATGGGCGATTGGCTGCATTTCTGTCACATAAACGACTTTTATGAATGCAAAAAGTCATGACACAACCGGAATAATGGATATATGCATTCAGTGATTTTGTGCCATCGGTTTAAGTGCACAAATTTGTATGGAACCATGAGCCTAGGATGGCTGTAAGGGCTGATCATATGCCATCTGGTGATTCAACAGAATTTTGATACCTCCAGATACAAAAGCAAATTTGATGAACAAATCCCGCACATTCCAAAGCTTCACATGTGACATGTACGATGATTGACTGATGTTGCTAATAAATTCACAGCCAGGCCGCTTCAGCTTTATATGTCGAATTATGCTTTCACGAATCTTCCACCTGCATTCCCCGCTTGTATGAGGTTTCTATGGAGTTGACTCCAAAGGTTTGTGTCTGAGTTCCTTTCAAGATTTGCCAGTGAATGTGAAACTGGATGATACTGGCTGTTCTTTCTGCTGTGTTTGGCGCGTATGGTAGTTTCAACCTAGAGTTGCAGTGTTCTCTAGAGCCAAAGCACCCTCACAGTGGGAATATAGTAGTCTCGCTGCATCGGGACCAATACCGTCCAACTTGCGATTCCGATTTCTTGATAATCGATGGCTGATTAGTTTCTGCGTAAAATTCCGTCATCTTGCGCGTTTCGATCGACAGGGAGGGATCTTGGATAGTTGGGGAAGATTGGTACACTGTTGGTATGAGGTATAAGGTATGAGAATGGGGGATATAAGGAGGTAGGCACTTTTATTGAAGTGGGCGATTGAAGTTTGTACTGACGGGACTCGAATGAACGCAAATGAACGTACAATGCACCCACAACGAAGAATCCCCTTGTACAATGTTCTAGTTGGTGCTAGGAATTTTTACATTAATTTACATTGTTGTTGGTCCACCAGCGAATTCATTTGCCAGCCTGCACGAATAATCAAAGTAATGGCTTGCGTGCCCATGGAGTGTTGCGGATAGTCCTGAGGGCCCATCTATTGACTATGGTGTTCAACTGAACTGCTTCTCCTCCCTCTCTTCCCCTCTTCCTGCCTAAACACTATATGGATTATATGTATACATCGCATTTCAACCTACGTGGCGCAATAACATTAACCCCCCTTCCCCTTCCCGTCATAAGATGTGGCGAAACTTTAGCAGGACTTGGAGTAGGAAGTGTGTCAGTGTTCCCGATTATGTGAAGCAAATGACCTCTAGTTTACGAGTTTCATTTGAAGAATGATACTCGCATGGCTCAATGCATTCTGATCAACACAATGAATTATCTTACAGGTATCCCAGAAGTTTAGAAAATAGGGATGGGGAGTGAACTTCGAGGTTTCAAAGATTATTTTTATGGTTATGGATATCCATTTGCATGGAGTATTTCCTCGGAAGTGTGCTTGTCTTGTTCTGTTCTTTTTGTGCCTGCTTCCTATATTCTTGAAGCTGCATCTATGTCTTCCTGTCTGAGATCCAAGACCATATTGATATTTCATGTTCAATTCATTATTAAAACTATTCATCTGCATGGGATATCAGTGATATCATCTGCTGAATCATTGAGATCATACAAATTCTTGCATTGCCTGTTGTGCTCGTTTACACTTCCAGGGTAGAGACTGAGAATCTGAGATGGCAAACTTGAGAGAGAAGGTATGAAGGGATTAAATCGAAGCCGGTGAGTTCACGAGATTGAATGTATGATACAGTTATGCTCTGTTCGGGTGTAGGTATGTAGAGAACAGGAGGGATGGAGTAGTGTGAGGATGGTGAGGGAGGAAGATGTACTGGGGCCTTTGAGTAGGATCGTGAGCAATGATATGGTTGTGTATCTGGCTTTGTGATATAGCGAATGAATACAAGCACATGGATATTACATACATATTCCAATTCTAGCATAGATCGCTAAGGGATAATAGCAAAGACTTTTCAGTAATATGAATGAGTACATTAGGAACTTACAACTTGAAATGATCGTTCAAATTGACTGTAGAGGAGGGATGAATATAGATAACGACGAGCCAAGTGACATTAATAGGATGTAGATAACGAGAGAGAGTTAGGATACGAGGATAAAACGAGCATTATCGATTTAATTTGTGAGGACGAGTTTGGATGGGCTTTAAAGGTTGCGGTTGAGATATTTTCACACCTTTTCCTCGGGGCGAGAACGAGAAATGAATGAGCGATGTACCTACTAGAAGGGGGATAAACGACTGCAAAATTTAATAGATACACAAATATCGTGTATGTGTAGGCCGCTGAATGTTTTCTAGCTTTTCCGGAGATAATTTGGATCTCACGTCCAGAGATTTAGGATATCACAATTCAAAAAGATAGTTCGGAGATATTGACCTTGATCATCAGGTTTAATGCTCTGAAATGTGATGGCTAAGAAAAGATTTTTCATGAATTTCTATTCCAAGGCTATGAAGACAGCAAAACAATACCCAATCTAGACTACCAATTTTTCGCCGATAGAGCTTCAAATGAAAACTCGACAGAAAGAAAACTCGTTCCGCAACTTTATTAAGTCCCCAACGATCATTTCTACAATCGCTTCTCCTTTGATCGTCTGATGTCCCTTTGAGCTTTGAACTGATTTTGGCAGTGGACGTCTTCGATGCAACAGCTTTGTCTGCATTAGTAACATCCGTTTCTTCACTTATTGATACGCCTGGCACGTCTTTCCGTGCCTGTATACATATTGATCAGCTTCGCTTGATAGAGGTAAATAGCTGTCTGGGTTTTTGTTGAAATGAGTAGCGTACTGGATAAATGCAATGCACTATTTTACCTGACAAGTTCAAATGAATACATCTGGAACATGGTGAATGTCTGTCATATTTTTGCTATGCTTATGTAGGTAGTCGAGGCAGAAGCCATCTAAGGTACGTCAGGCTCCTCGGAGTCCAGGAAATCCTGTGCGGCAAAAGAGATTCTTTTCGGCAATGAAATAGATGCAGGCAGATCCAAGTCGGGTTTAGATTTTAAGAAATTCGCAACGGCATAGAATCTTTTTGGGGCCGGATTGGAAGCAAGTAGATTTGGTTCTGCTTCTGTTTCCGAGGGAGTCCCTTTCCGGAATACATTCGGAGCACAGGTCCTCAAAAGTCTATCGAATTCGGGTTCATATTTGATCACTGCCCCGTCGTAGGAATTCTCATGAGGATCTGAAGAAAAGTTATCTTTCAAAAGTCCCTGGAGTGGGAGTTGTATTGGAGAATGACTGGGAAACAAGAGAGAGGCCTTCACAATGTAGTTAAAAGGATGCAATCACTAGATTATCTTTCAAATCAGTTGATTGGACTGACGTGTTTCTGAAGGTCATCCGTGAAAGCATTTATGGTATAAGACGGACTCGCAGGACGTGGAAATATGAGCGGAATGATTCATGAGGGTTCTGGGACATATACAACAATTCTATTTGTAAATGTATCTGCATCCTTAAGCGGTGCTTTTCCTCTTCGGAAATATTGAGGAAAAGGGGGAATGTCTCCCAAATACTCACATGTGATCTCCTGATCCGGTGGACCTAATTTAAGTGGCAGATACTTTGACCCTTGAACTTTGTCATCCACCAAAAAGATTTCGTAGTCACTTTCCTCCATAACGTAGTTGGGAAACTCGTTCAGTATCATCGGCCTAAGAGGATACATACTGCCAAACGATCCAAAACAAAAGAATGCAATATTGATGCCGTTGAGGGTGATGGTTTAATGTATGGTGCTTATGGATGTATCGAGTAGATCTTGGTGTGTCTTTCAGAACGATAATTATATAAGTTATTATCTCTTCGTGCCTTCTAAATTGCGAATGGAGACTTGCACTTTCTTTTCGAGCACTTTGCACGCATGTAGGTGAAATGAGGATGACGATAATACCATTTGTATACGAATCATGTTGCAGCCCAATGCTCATGTCGACTTTGACAGAACTGGGAAATGCATGGATGTTAAATACTTCGCTCCAAATTCACAAGTTATCGTTATAATGCAGAAGTTCAGGGAGCTGACTGAAGTCCATACACTGCAGGTTAATGAAGCTGCATAATTTGCTTTTGATTAATTTGTAATACGACCAATAAATTAACATCCGATGTTTCCTCTCTTTCCACCTCTCTTGGTTCTGTCGATATGCCCTTTAAGCACCCTCCTAGTATGTTGCAAACTTCTCTTTTGTTTACTCTTAGCCTTACCCAACGTCATCATGAAATTCTTCTTTCGAGATTTCTCTTGATTGGTGGTACTCTTGCCCTCGGCATCCTTCTTCGACCTCCTAATTGCCTTTGTAGACTTATGCTCGCTACGCTCACCCTTTCCTTCCCTAGCCATTGCTATCTTCTCTTCTCTTGTATTCTTTTGTAACTTCGAGAAACCTTCAATTTGATCAGCTGTCAAGGCATCATCCGCATGTCTCGCAGCTGCGTCCTTCATTCGTTGAGACTGTGTCCTTCCTCCCATCGCCTTATTTACGCTAGCCTCAAGACGGAGCTCTTGGAGCTTTGCAAGATCGGCTGGAGTGAGAATTTTGGTGGTTGCATATGTGGATATCTTCTGTTCAAGGGCCTTGTCGGCAGCTTCCTTCTCAGCATCTTCTGTTGATGCTTCGGTGCCGTCCGCTGACTTTTCAGTAGCTTTAACTTCGAGCTTCGCTTTCTTCGCGGCCGGCTTTTCATCTTCACTATCACTGATCTCAATTTCAGCGTCGCTCTCGACATTGATCCAGCCACCCTCATCACTATCAGCATCAGATTCAACATCCCATGCATTCCAATCTTCCTCATCGTCCTCTTCTTCATCCGTGCCCAATTCCTCCGGCAATCCACGCTCGACTCGTTTCCGTTTTCTTTCGTCTTCCTTCCACTGCTCAAGTAGTTCGATACCTTCGATACCGCCGGCTTCTTCCTCACCGAAACGTCTTTCTTTGATTAATCCAGTCTTGAGACCCATGGTAGCTGTCTTTCCTCTATCTCTCTTCTTCAACATATCTGCTCCGACTTCACGGTACAAGGACAACAATCCTTTCGCTGCCATCATTGTTCCCTTATCCTTGCTCTTTCTGTACATAATAAGATCTTGTAGAAGTGTATCATTCATAGCTAATGGTTGTCGTACGCAAATTTCTCGAATGGCATTCAGTCCGGAAGCAGCGACCTCCGAGGCAGAAGCTTCAGAGACGAACTCATTGGCAATCTTCTGTACCAAAGGTTCTAAAGCATCGGGTGGAACAAGATTGTGTGTTGCTTGAGCTAGAGATGCCAAAAATGAAGTTACAGAAGGTTGTCGTGGTGTAAGGTACTTAGTAAAGTACGAGTATAATGAAATTACAGTAAGCTTGTGTAAGCCAACAAGTCGCGAAACCAATTGTAGGACAATCAGTTTTTGTTCGAGGTTGAGTTTCGACTTCGAGTTCTGAAGGTGTTTTGAAAACAGGGTTTCGGCGAAACCTTGGGGATCGTGCAAGAGATGCAGGGCGGAGAAATTCAGTGGATGAGGTGCTTTGCTCTTCTTTTCCTTCCTTCGTACCTTTTCGACGGCCTTTTCCAATGTTTTCGTCTTCTTCTTTGTTTTTTTGTTGATTCCAACTTGATGTTTCAGCTTACCAATATCAATGGCTTCTTCGTCACTGCTTTCATCCTCCATCTCTTCTCTTTCCTTGTCGCCTCCCAAGAAAAACCGTACTCCACCGCCAATAACCTTCTCATTATCTGACAAACTAGCTTCCTTCATAATCTCAACAGCTTTTGCATCTGTCCAGATCTGTCGTTTCCACAATTCTCTTGTAATTTTGACAGCCCAGATTCCTTTGGAAGATGTTCGGTCGGAGGTAAGCAAATTGAACAGTGCTGTCTGCATTGTTCGATTGAGACGATGATTTATGCTCTTCGAATTCGAAGTGCGGAGATCTGACAAGATCTTCTGGAATAGTAGTGTTCGGAGTGTTTTACTAGGCGTAGCCACCAATATTGGAAACAATGTATTGAGAAGGTTGGCCGAATCAATTACTTCCTTTCGTCGCAATAATACCAGACTACCAACGATCTTCTCACGCAATTCGCTTTCAAGTTCGGCATGGTGTAAAGTTAAAATCTGCTTGAGATCCTCAGGGAATTCTGCGGTATCTTCTGGGAAACAGTCTGAACAATGCGCGACGAAATCGATGAGGTCGTGAAATGATACGATGCCGCCGGATGTCGCAGTGGAAGGAGAAGACATAAAAATGTCTCTTTGTGCTTGGTACTGTCCATATTGATTTAGGAAATCTTCTGCGTATGATCTGGTATACTTGTTAGATGATGCTTCCATTACTCAGTGTAGAAGACATGTAACTTACTTTGGATCTCTTCGAATCTTGTATTGTAAATTTGGACTGTAGAGGTCAGCAATGATTAGTAGAAATGTACCAATTGAGTTCTTACAGATCCGCATCAACCTTCTCCAAAGCACCAAGTCTCTTTTTACCCATAATGCCGGTTGGATGCTGCCCGATTCTTGAGTATTCGATTCTGCCTTCTCACTGAATTTCACATGAGTGAGATAATTTTTTTCGTTATCATTATCTTAGCGCCAGTCGCTTAAGTAACTAGTGGCATCAAGACGGCGTGTGAGGATTGATTAGTAAGGTGTTTGAATATGAAATAACTGAGGGCGGCAAACTCTTCAACTACATGCCTTTCTATTGGTTCACATGTTTGCCAACTCACGCTCGCCCAAGAAGTTTATATCATTAATCACAGCGACGACGTGGAATTAATCCATGATGGTTCATCTACGTTATCAAATAACATCCAAGTGGCTACCACACCTCGTATATATTCAGTTAGCGGCCGCATCAACGCGGAGCACGTAGCTAACGATGACTGCATCGATCCCCATCATTATCATGAGCCTCAGCTGGAGACTGGCATCGGAAACCAATGAGATGCTTTGGGGGCCATCTTGCAAATTCTTTAGGTCTCGGATTGTTGACGCGAGCTTCTAATGGTACCACATAAGTTTGTGGTGGGTCTCCGGAATCATTCTTTGCTACGACTGCTGCGAGTAATTTCAGGATTTTTTCTGACGGTGATATCACGGTTCGTTTGAAAGGATCAGGTTTTGGTGAAGCCGTTGTTCAGCCATTATCGTGCCCAAATACTATATAACTCCTACCCAGTGGCAGGTGATCAAAGAGCCCATAAGTCAATGCAAACCCTACCCCTCTTCGTTGTTTTCATGCCCCCCTTCCTTTACCCTCATTAGTGGCAATGAACTCGCCCACAGATTGTCCATTTATTTCTGCGAAAATGTCTGATGCAGATCCATATATCCTTACAAAACTCTCTGAGCATGTGTCACAACATCTGAACAAATCACTTGATCAAGCCGTGGAGAATCTATCTTTGAGACTCCAGGACACGGCTAAAGATGCTATCGCTGATACTAGAGAAATCAATACCATTATTGACCAGGCGGTCAGAGAAGCCGTTGAGAAGGCATTCGAGAAATCTATGGTAACGGAAGTTGAGCCTTCATCGATAAAATCAGAGTTTAAATTCCCACCTCCCCGGAATTCCAATTTCGTGGGCCGCTCTTCAACTCTGGCAAAACTACTTAGCCTATGGAAACCGGACCAAAAGAGTCGATTGGCAGTAGTAGGGCTTGGAGGAATAGGGTATGTTATTTGCCCTCAATAATTTCAATGTCAAAACTCACATCCACAGGAAAACCGAGCTCATTACTGAGCTTGTCTACCAAATTAGAGAAGCATCACCCGCATCAATATATTGGTTTGGGCCCGGAAACTTGCTTGCACCTTCCGTCGACGGACATGAACCATTAGAAGATTGGCTACGGCCTGGGCGAGACTCCGCAAGTTTATTGGTCGTTGATGCCGGGGACAATTTTGATTTTCTGCTGCAGCACACTGAGCACGGTAGACTGATTGACAGGCTACAAAGATTCGAAGGTGCCATCATACTTATTACAAGGACTAGATCGAACGGTTGTCTTTTAAGTGGCCCCCACAATATCTTCGAAGTGGGATGTCTCGAGCTCGAACCAACAATGTGTTTATTACGAGACAGGTTGACCGTTGACCTATTCGATAATTCAACTGATGAGCAACTTCGCGAAATCGCCCTTCTTGTTAATTGTCTACCGAGAGCCATTGTCCAGGTCTCAAACTTACTCAACGATACTTCGATGAAACTGTCGCAATTCATCTCCATATACCGAACAAATGATCACTTCAAATTACGACTGCTGAGTTCGGTAGCTCCGCTTTTTACAATATCGGAAGAAGAATCTGTTATTGGAAAGGGCGTCATGAATGCTAGGCAATTTCGATCAATTTACCCTATGGCAGCTCGTATTCTTCACCATCTATATTATCTTGGTGGCAACGCAGTACCACGCTCTATCATCTGCTCATTGGTTGATCCTCTTGATCTCATTGTCGTGATGTGCATCTTGAAGGGGAATTTTCTCGTCACAGAGGACGATACTAGCGAGACATACAATTTGCATCCCTTAGTCTTCTTGTCGCTCAAGAAGGTCATTACCAGCGAAAGATCAGAAGCGGAAGAAAGTGAGATCGAGCAAGAGCTGGAATGGTACACACAAGCAGTTGTTGCCTTTGGGAATCACTACCCTGACTCGAATAGCAAGGATCGAGA